TGCTACAGGCTGCATACCATAAGGCAATCTTCCAGCCTACAAGGTCATTCGGCTGATTTTGACATTGTTCCAAAGCTTTGGAATGCTTTGCTGGGACTGAGTGTCCCTAAGTTGGTATTCGTGTTTTCTTCTCTTTAGGAAGAGATGCTAGTTTATTTATTATTCTTTTATTTTCATTCAATGGGGATCAACTGCGGCTTACATTATTCTCTCCTCCACTTTATCCTCACCACAACCGTGTGAGGTAAATTAGGCTAAGAGAGTCTGACTGGCCCAAGGTCGCCCAGCAAACTTTCGTGGCGGAGCAGGGATTTGAACTGTGGTCTCCCGGACCCTAGTCTGGCATCCTAACCGCAACACTATGCTGGATGTCAATTTTCATTGCTTTCATTATTGCCGCGTGTCCAGTAAATATCCAGTTAACAAGATAATGCTGCGACAGAGATTGGAAGGAAGGCCTTGTGCCCGTCCTGTTCAGCCACATTGCCTTACGCATTTGCTTGTTCATTTACTTAATGGTTTCTCCTCAATGGGGACCCAAGGCATCTTACATTGTTCCTTCTTTCTTTCATTTTACCCTCACAACTACACCCTGAAACAACAAAGGGTTATTCAAGGTATGAGCTTTTGTGCGCACGCACACTTTTTCAAATACATTAGAATGGTAGGTAAGGTTCAAAGTTATAGACAGGAACTTAACAGCAAATCAACATGTAACACGATGATGGTCAGGATGTGCAAAGTGAAAACTAAATAACAATCCACGCCTGAAAGGAGAGAATTAAGATTCTCAGTCACTTCCCATAATTAGAAAAGACACTTTTGGACATGTCTATTGCTTTACAATGATAAAGGTCCAGCTCGGAAGCCTGGAAAAAAGACCTCTTCGGCATTAAGAAGCCTGTGATGAGCCAATCCGGCCAGGCGGTGGCAGTGTGGCACTACGACTCAAAAAGCAGTCCCAGAAGAACTGACGTCATCTAGCCACGCCGAAAAAGTGAATGCCGTCTGGAACATGCCTGAAGCTTACAGTTGAACAAAATCCCCGTTGGCTGCAAAAGTGTGCGATTTAAAGAATTATATGTTGTCCTCCCTTACCCTATGAAACATTGTTAGTCCCTTGTGAAAACTTGTGTAACTGTAAATCGCTCAGAGCCAGCAGCTCTGCAGGATGAGCGATCAATAAATCGAAAGGTATTATTATTATTATTATTATTATTATTATACAACCTTATAACCTTAACTTGTTATTTAGTTGAACAAAACTAAATTGTTATTTAGTTTGTACACTTTGAACATCATCATCTCATGTTAATTTGCTGTTCATTCTTTGTTTCTGTTATTTTGAAAAAACATTATTTTTCATAACACACAAATGAACGAACATACAAACACAAATGGGGGCATTTCATTCAATGTGCAAATTACATTTGTTACAAATTCACCTGTCTATTTGTTATAGCTTATATATTTCACTTTATAGTATTAAAATAGTAGTTAGAATTCTGCATATCTTAGCAGCTTAATACTTTATATGGCCTCAACAAGTTTTAATACTTCATAATTTATTTATATTGATCCTCATACCAGTTGTGGAATCTTGACCAGGTAAATTTGTTGTTCGTTCTTTGGCTATAAGTTTGAACCTTACACACCATTCCAATGTATTTGAAAAAGTGTGCGTCTTAAAGGTGCCACTGGACTCTACATTTCTTCTACTGCTTCAGGCCAACATGACTGACCAACCGGATCGAACTACACTGTGAGATAGGTTAGGCTGAAAGTATATGACTGGGCCGAGGTCACTCACCAACCTTCCAAAGCAGAGTGTGGATTCCATTCTGGGTCTCTCAGATCCTTCTCTGTCACTTTAAGCACTATGGCACACCATCAGGAAAGGAGATTCTCTCTACCATTACAGCTCAGCCGGAGGGGAAGATTTTTCTCAGCAAAGCATCTGCTGGGTAATGGCTACTGCCAGCAAAATAGACCCACATCAATAGACTTTTCCAACCATTCTACTTTGTCGAGTCAGGTATAGGACCCTTTGGGCCCAGCATCTGCAAACTATAGGCCCAGAGCTTAATGTGGCTCAGTAAGGAACCAAATATGACTTTAAAAAGTAAAAGGAAAGGAATATTGAAGGAATAGGTGGGATCCTAAAATAATCCGCGGCACAGGCAAGAGCTTGGATCCTAGAACAATGGAAACTTCGGATCCTGGATCCTCCAGCCCCAACCAATAGCCACCTTGGCGGGGCATTCAAACCCTCCAGTGGGAATGGGGGGTGCTGGGTGGATATGTATATAGTTTGCCCTGTCGACCGTTAGAGTTAGTCTTTTTTTCTGTGTTAAGTACAATAAACGTGTGCTACAGCATATAGTCATGAGTCCTCCATGTGGCGAACCCAGTACTTTTCAAGACTCTCGAAAGCTGATACCCTGGAAATCCTGTTGGTCTTAAAGGGGCTACTGGACTCAAGACATGCTGTTCTACCACATACTATCATGGCTACCCACCTGAAACTTTGGGTCTTAAATCACCCTTACAGCCACTTTTATATCTTAGATGAATTTTCAAGCAGTGGATGTGTGGTTCTATGAAAGCTAGCTTTCTGCCCCGAAACCGTTCTGTGGATATCTCTGAGAACACCACCCCATTTCAAAGTTAAGTAAAGAATTTTGATTTTACTAGTAGCTGCCAAATCCCTTTTAGCACAATATTGGAAAACCAGTAATATTCGTTCAACAAAGCAATGGTTTCAAAAAATATGGGACTACCTGGCCATGGGAAAGATCTCAGATCTCTACCGCTGAAAATCCTTTATTTATTTTTATTTTTTTGAAAAATGGCTCCCTTTTTTCGATCATGTTGAAAATCATTCAAAGGTTAAAAATTAACTTCCAAAGAAATATTACTTGTTTAGCCTTTTACCAAGATCTGTATTGTATTCTGCCCTTTTCCTCTCTTGTTGTTTTTTATATTGTTAAGTAAACCTGGTTTGTATCTGTTTTATTCTGGGGGGAAAAGGTTATATTAAAAAATGGTTTGGTGTGCAATTGATACGAATTTTTATAAGTAGCTTTGGATGCTGAGAATGCAATGGAATTGTCCGGGAGGGACTCTGCCCCCCTCCACTTACCACACTGGGAGGAAGAGTTGGTGACCCTTCCTCAGGCAGCAGTGACCAGCCACAGCAGGACAGGGAGCCACTGAAGAGCCGGTCCAAGCAGCCCAGCTCAGAACTGTGGAAGAATGTGGCATGGTGGCTGACAGCGAAACAGGCAATGGCACATCCCAAATCCCAGCTGCCCACCCTGCTGGCTGCAAGAGTTGTGTTGTTTTTTTTTGGGGGGGGAGATGGAGGCTGGCAGGAGACAGCCTTCAAGGCTGGCCCTGCAAGTGATAGGCTGACATCTGGGTGGAGGGACAGGATGAGGAAGAGAAAGCCCTACCCTTCCTAGGCCAGATTGGGCCTAAGATACTGGCCCTTGATGGTACGTGGTGGTGGAGAGATGACAGAGGCAAGAATTTCCAGCCAGGACCTCATTGGCCTGGGGCCTTGCTAGTTGGGAGGGTCCCACCTCATAGGAAAAGGGAGTGGAGGAGCCTGGGGTGCCCCCTCCCCCAGGAAGGCCCTTTAAAGGCAGAGGGAAGGAGAGCTGGGGAGGAAGAGCCAGGTCACATCCCAGAGAAGAAGAAGAAGAGACTGGATTTATACCCTGGCCTTCACTACCCAAAGGAGTCTCAGAGCGGCTTACAATCTCCTTCCCCATCCCCTCCCCATAACAGACACCCTGTGGGGCAGTTGGGGCTGAGCTCTTTCAAGAAGATAACAACAACGAAAGACGTGCTAGAGGGTGCCTGTTAGGCTAGTCACCTCCCCAATGTATGTGTGTGGCCCTAGGTAAGGATTGATTGTGTTTGAATATGTGAACCGCTTGCCCTTAGGGGGGGAGCGGTATACAAATTGAAGGATAAATAAATAAGAACTGCTCACGAGAGAACAGCTCTGAAAGAACTCGTAACTGACCCAAGGTCACACCAGCAGCTGCATGTGGAGGAGTGGGGAATCAAACCCGGTTCTCCCAGATTAGAGTCCCAGAGAGGAAGCAGGGAAGAGGGGAGCTAGGTGTAAGTAAACCCCCTCCCCCCTTTGCTTTTCTGAGGCACTCCTGAAGATCCCACCTAGAGAATGGATTCCTGGAGAGCGCTGCAGCCCCAGACTCAACCCCAGAGCCCCCCAGAAGCAGAAAAGAATCTCTCCTTATATATAATTGAATAGTGGGTGCCAAAGTTCTAATTCTAAAATGCACTCCCTTAGTGTATGGCTGATGGCACTGCTCCTCAGCATATATCGCCACCAATCAGAAGGCAAAGCCTGGGTCCCGCCCACACCACAACTGCTGCGACAACCTGGTCTTTTGCATATGGAAGCTGATTGGACTTCAGTCCATTCCACACCTCAAACTCCCCCCCCCCCCACGCAAGGCAGTTGGGATTTTCAGTTGCATAACATACCTCATAGGGGAGAGGAGAATGGGTAACAATGGTTACCACTCTCCAGGTGAGGGCTACAGATAACTCAAACATACAAATGCTCTTCAGGTAGCAGAGATCAGTTCCTCTGGAGAAAACAGTGGACTCCGTCATTAAACCCTGCTGAGGTCGCCACAGGAAACTGACACTGTTTGCCCAAAGCCAGAGCACTCTCCCAGAGCCTCTTTCTAGATCCCGTTGTATTTATTTCCGCAACGGGCATTATTTCTAGTATTTGATAAATAACTAATTGAAAGTGGGGAGACAAAAATCCAGAGCAGCAGCTTTGACTTTTGTTGCTTCAACCAAGGCAAAGATACAAAAAAAGTTTAAGTAGACCCTGGATATACTGACGTATGTCCACTTTCAGGATGTTAAGCAACAGTAGATAGAATGTTGAACGCTGTGACACAACCACATTAGAACAATTCACCTTGATAACATGATGTTTATTGGTGTCCTGCACTTTTAGTGTAGCAGGCTGGGGATGCAACTTTTTTTTTTAAAAAAAAAGAAAGCTTCAAAACTTATCAAATCTTCATTGAATTACTCTAAACAACCCGTGCTTCAGAGCTCAGTTAATACATGTTTCCTGTCCATTATGCACACACCCCGCCGCCGCCCCCTCTTTTACAATGTAAGCATTTTAGAGCCTGCTTATAACAATGCTCCCCTTTAAAATGTTTTCTAGATACATTCCCCCAATGTAAACACTTTTTTTCTGTCTCCATCACAATCAAAATTGGTAAGGCCTTCGGAACTCTCTTACGCCATCCTCCACATCACTTGGCTGCAAAACAACAATCTTTATTTCTCAGTATAAATTTTCGTCCATCAAAAGAGGTTGGGCCAGGGGACTTAATTCATTACTGTTCAGCCGTTTTGGGGAGCCCCAAGTGGGCTGCATGGTATGATCAAAGAATAGCAGCCGGACATTACAAAGGGGGCCCTGGGGGGGTGTCCACCTCTCGGACTGTGCCCAGGATTGTAGCCCGAAATACCAAGTTAGGCTGCATGCAGTCTAGTTGGCCTTCTTAATGGTTTATATACATTTCATTTCTGTGTTTCTTCGCAGGTTTACGGCGTACTTTAAAAGGATCATTTTATACTTGGTCTCGTCGGCCTTAGCACACGAATATACAATATCCATAAGCAATAGACAAGTAAAGCTTAGAATGCCTTACCATTCTTTATGAACTGCTAAAAAAAACCCTTACATGTGTGTAAGGCAGTAGCACTCTTGCTGACCAACTTAACAAATTCGTTTATTCCGTCAGAGGAATAATGGAGATGGGGACAAGTTGGTTTCGTTATCTTTAGTCAAATGGTTCATGTAGAAGTTTTTCTTTCAAAAAGGGTTTTGTCTTGAACCAGACAATTTTGCTGAACAAAAAAAAAAATCAGTGAAGCTTTATTTTGTTGTGACTAAACCCCACGCCGGCGGAAACTGGTCTCTGGTCACCTCTGTGGGATTGTATCCTTTCACTTTAATGTTTGCTATGCCAGGAAATTTTTTAAAAAATGCAAAATTAACAAATTCTCTTTCACATTTTCTTGTTTAAACAAGGTCTTTACTTTGGAAGAAACTTGGCAAGTTCTGCTGTTGTGAACGGACTTATTTCATTTCAGATCGCAGACCTAAGGCAGCTCCTTTGAAAAGAAAAAATATCGCGGTATCTAGGGGCTTCTCCAGCTTGTGTTGCGCCTTTCACATCCAATCCTCACAATCCATCAGAAGCTGGAGTGCCGCTATTTCACCGGCCATTGGGACCTTCTAACTATGCAGCCAGACAGTACAAAAGTGTAAATAATGAAACTGTGAAGCACATATACGTAATTATTAGGATGAGCTTTCTGTCTGGCTATTAATAGAAAACAGTCCTGTTCATATGTATTGCATAAATGTTCAAGCCATGACTTCATTTTAAAGTTGTACTGCTTCATATGTTGTGTACAACAAAACAAGAGGATCTCCCCCCCAAGCCCCCCCCCCACAATGCTTACCAAGTTACTGAAATAAGTACGGCAGCTAGCCGAGGACTTAGCTTTCCTGAGGTTTGTAAGGATTTTTTTTTCAAACTTAAAAATCACAGTGACTAGGCTAGACGGCAACCATACTGTTAAATTTTAAATATACAGTTTTATAGAGGACTTCTGTGCAGGGCCAGTTCTTGTCAACACATCTGTTCAGACAATGTTTCCTCTAAATGACGCGCCACTGCATAATACTGGTATCTTTTCCACCTGTCGAGATGAGATGAGTGTCTTCATATAGAAAATCTACGTTGGTTACGTGACTACTGTGCCCGCCGTACACGTGGCTGGGAGCCTGAAATAAAGAGAGAGAACCATCACTAACAAAAAATGTAAATGTTGGTAATAAGTGCCATTGCCAAAAACAACTGCTTTCATCTATGGTAACCAACATGTTATGTGCTAGACTAGGGATGGGTATGAACCGAATTAAAAATAGAAATTCGTCATGAACCAGGCCTGATTCGTGGTTCGAGAACCTTGGTTCATACCATCCTGCCCTTAGAAGCCCTCAGGAACCTGCCATGAACTTCTCAGGTGGGTTTGTGTGGGCAGACACACTGGTGCTGGCGGTGGGTCTTGGAGAAACCATTTCAAAAGACTGCAGTCTCTTTAAATGCCTTCTCCAAGCCACACCATTTGCAAAAACCATTTAAAGGGATACCTTTAAATGGTTTTTACAAGCCGCCCCACCGCACAACTCACAAGTGAACCAAGAAGGTATTTAAATGGTGGCAGCACAACTCAGAGAGTCAACTGGGAAGGTATCTAAAGGTTCCCTTTAAATATCAGCATTTCAGCAAAAGGGATCACTGAAATGGCTTGCAAAATCCATTTAAAGGGAATGTTCCCTTTAAACAGCTTTTGCAAGCCATTTCAGCTATCCCTTTTACTCTCCCCCCGCTTGGAAGGTCAGGGGGGGGGGAGCTAAAGGGATAGCTGAAATGGCTTGCAAAAGCCATTTAAAAGGAACACTCCTTTTAAATGGCTTTTGACAGCAGGTGCCACATGGGAGTGGAGTCCAAGTGGCAAATCCACCCAGAAGTGGTGAATTCACCACTTCGACTACTCCTGTATGGCACCTGCTTGCAAAACCAATTTAAAGGGAACGCTCCCTTTAAATAAGGTTTGGAAGATCTTCCTCCCATTCTGCTGGCATCGGGGAGTTGCCACCAGCAGAAAGGAGAGAGGGAAGATCTCCCAGGAAGGAAGATCTTCTTCCCCTTCCATTCTGCTGGCTTCGGGAAGCTACCACTACAAAGAAGTAATCAGAGCCAACAATGTGTGAGCGGAAAAGAAATGAACTGACAGTTTGCGTGATCTTAGATAACCGACATTTCGCATAATATTAGATAAGAATCTAAAAAAATAAAATAAAATAAATTTAAAAGTTATTGAATTCTTTTTTTGGAGTTTTATTAGAAGAAATACTGTGTACTATGCCTTGTGCACATGGAAAAAAAACCAGTCACTTTTACTTAGTGCAAGCTCACAGTGAGGAGCAATTTCAGCACTTCAGCTTGTACTTTGTTTATTTAGTTCCCAATATAGATGCGATGTTAAGTGGTGGATGCCCATTGGTTATAGTAGTATTTCCACTAAGATGTGTCTTTTCATCTAAATTGGGGCCTTGTGTCCTGTGTTACGAGAATAAAGCCCTGAAGTCTCAAGTTTAAAATTTATCGTTGCTTAAGAACGTAAGAACATAAGAGAAGCCAATGTGGGATCAGGCCAGTGGCCCATCCAGTCCAACACTCTGTCACACAGTGGCCAAAAATACCAGGTGCCATCAGGAGGTCCGGCAGTGGGGCCAGGACACTAGAAGCTCTCCCACTGTTGCCCTCCAGTTTGGTGTAATGGATAAGTGTGCGGACTTTAATCTGGGAGAACCGGGTTTGATTCCCCACTCCTCCACCTGCACCTGCTGATGTGACCTTGGGTCAGTCACAAGCTCTGGCACAGCTGTCCTTGAAAAAGAGCAGTTTCTGCCAAGAGTTCTCTCAGCCCCACCCACCTCACAGGGGGTCTGTTGTGGGGAGGGGAAGGGAAAGGAGTTCGTAAGCCGCTCTGAGACTCCAAGTGAAGGGCGGGGGATAAATCCAATCTCTTCTTCTTCTTCTCCCCCAGCACCAAGAATACAGAGCATCATTTGCCCCAGAGTTCCTATCTATACCTTGTGGCTAATAGCCACTGATGGACCTCTGCGCCATATTCTTATCTAATTCCCTCTTGAAGCTGTCCATGCTTGTAGCTGCCACGACCTCTTGTGGCAGTGAATTTTGTTGCTTCGAACTCATCTGGTTGCATGGAAGGCAAGTTAGGAGAACCCTGCCTCCACTCGTGGCTCAAAGTCTTGTCAAGTTTGTGCCCAAGCTGACTTGACTTCAGTCGACTTAGAAGGGTGTGACTCTCCTTAAGAACACACTGTTAATCACTTTACAGCATAAGGCGTATACCCCAAAGGGCCTCTTCTCCACCTTAAACAATACTTTGCAATACGTCTCATACATACCCTGAACTGTGAACATGGATACGAGAAGAGATGTACTTTGCCAAAGTCATCACCGGTTGACAACAATTTCCTCCCCTGTGAGCGGCAGACAGCATTGATATCTGTGCCATCTGAGCCTTCTGGCCACACACCTGAAAGACAAAGCAAGCATTTTAACATTTCTTCAATTAATGTGCTTTAAATACCCTCTCTTTTAAACTGAACCAGACCACTCACTCACAGTCTGCTGTCTACGGTTTTGTGTCCTTCTCTAAAAACAACATGTAGCTCTAGAAAAGAGCAAGAGTCCAGTAACACCTTAAAGGTAAAGGTTCCCTTGCTCGAAAGCCAGTCGAGTCCGACTCTAGGGTTGCGGTGCTCATCTCCGTTTCAAAGCCGAAGAGCCAGCGCTGTCCGAAGACGTTTCCGTGGCCATGTGGCCGGCATGACTAAACACCAAGGCGCATGGAACGCTGTTACCTTCCCACCGAAATGGTACCTATTTATCTACTTGCAATTTCTCGCTTTTGAACTGCTAGGTTGGCAGGAGTAACACCTTAAAGACTAACAAAATTTGTGGCAGGCTATGAGCTTTCGTGAGTCACTGCTCACTTCTTCAGATACCAGTGACTTACAAAAGCTCATCCCCTGCCACAAATGTTTTTAGTCTTTAAGCTGCTACTGGACTCTTGCTCTTTTTCTACTGCTACGGACAGACCAACACGGCCACCCATCTGGATCAACGTGTAGCTCTGGACACATTCGTAAGCATATACTGGAACGTGGTGGTTGTGGTCCAAAAGGAGATTACAATACACACATAAATGCACCATCTTACTTTGCTAGGTTTACAGTACGTGGCAGTTTAGGTGATAAAGGTTACTGCTATGATTAAATAAAGCAATAAAGGACAAAATTAGTCCATTACAAAATTGCAGGCTTTCAAATTCTCTTCCTTCCAAGGTGTTAAATGAAGTATTATTCATTTAGTACATTTAAATCCCGCATTTCTTCCAAGAAGCTCAGGGGACCATACATTGTCCCCCCCTTCCGCTTGACCCGCACAACAACCTTAAGAGGTAGGCTAGGCTGAAACAGTACGGCTGGTGCAAGGCCACCCAGCAAATATCTAGCAGAATGGGGATCTGAGCCTGGGTCTACATCCAGGCTGAAGGCTACCTTGAAAGGTAATTTTACTCTAGAAGCAAAGAAAACAAGAATTTATTTATTTATTTAAATTTATAACCCGCCCTCCCCGCGAATGGGCTCAGGGCGGCGTACAGATGGGGCCAATGCCCAATACAAAAAACATTAAAACTGCATTTTAAAAACATTCAGTGCAACATAAGTGCTCTCCACAACAACTAACAAGGGATCCGATGACGTCACCAGGATGGTATCCTTAGTGGCCACAGCTCCACGCAGTACCACCATTTTCGCACTCACGGCGAGTTGGTAATAAGGGCTAGGACAGATAGTAATAGTCGTAGACAGATGGTAACAGTCATGGCGGCTCCTACTCAATCGCCTGGCGGAAGAGCTCCGTCTTGCAGGCCCTGCGGAACTGTGCAAGGTCCCGCAAGGCCCGGATCTCCTCTGGGAGCTCATTCCACCAGGTAGGAGCCGCCACTGAAAAAGCCCTAGCCCTAGTCGCTGCTAGTCTGGCCTCTTTGGGACCTGGAACCACCAAGAGATGTTTAGTCCCGGACCGTAGTGCTCGTTGGGGAACATATGGGGAGACAGTCTAAATCAGCTACCTAGTTTCAAAAAACATGACCCTTGCCTGTTACTCCCAAGGTATCCTGGAAACTGCAGTTTTATGATAGTTCTTTAGACTGGACTCAGCATACCATGTTAAATTTTCTAAATTTTACAGATAATGGGTTAGGTGCAATGAACCATGAATGGAATGAATTCACAGCACGGATATCTCCCCTTTAGCGCCATGGCCTTCTTCGATATCCTACACCCCTTCCCCCAAACCTGATAATAAGGGTCTAGTTAAATGATAAATGGGACATTTATCAAGGTTCGTGAACCATGAATCAGGCCTGCTTCGTGACGAATTTGGGGCTCCCCCAGTCTGGTTCCTAGACATGTACTCCTAGACACACACACTCTCCTCTATCAAAGCACCCATTGCTTGCAGAGGCTCATAAGTGCTGCAAGAGGGGGAGGAGGGGCTTTGGGCTTCCTTCCCGTGCCACTTTCTTGAATGGAAAGGGCTGGAGGGGAGGGGGGCTGTTTGCCCCTTTCTCTGGGTCCACGTGTCCCGGGATCAGGGGATCGCAGTAAAAAGATGGGGAGAATCAGCAGAAAAGTTGCACGAACTCTTGCTCCATTTGTGGACTTCTGCCGAGCCCTCCTCCCTCGGCTGCATCCCGTTCTGTTCTTAAGGGTCCCCAGATTCCTAGGAGCAGATTTTCAGGGGCCACGGAGGGATGGAAATTAAGGGTAGCATCTCGATTCCCGTTCAAAAGCTGACATGCTGACAGTCAGCTAATTGGAGAGGCATGAAAAAGCTGGCTGAAGAGCTTACCAAAAACATGGAACCCTAAAGTACATGTGTAGGTCATCCATTCTATATCTCTAGTGGTTTCCACGCTTACGACTTGCTTACAAGCTGAAGGAACCCCTGCAGAAAAATATGGGAGACAGACACCAGTTATAAGGGTATACAGTAAAGCTTTGGAGACTAAAAACACATGTCCCTGATCAGTTGTGGTTTCTTTTTCCATCTCAGAAATACTTTACTAGCCAAGAACGAACTCTGTGCTGAGGACAAAACCCTATTTGTTACTCACAGTATAGGATTTCATAGTCCCCTGAATTAGACACGAGGTACTGAGAATTAACGGACCAATCCAAGTGAGTAATGAAGCTGGAATGACCCTATGAGGGGAGAGAGAGGCATTATATTAATTCCAGCAACGTAACATTCCCCCAACAGAATTACACCAGCACATATAAAAAGCTATACAGAAAGGTACACTGAAGCCTTGTTTACATTATGAACCGTGGGCGACCTGTGTTTGGATAGCAACCTGGGGCACCACGTTGGAGACCTGTGTTTGGGTAGCAACACGGGACACCACACTGGAACTACAGGCTCCTGTCCAAAGTTCCATGTGCTCTTTTGATGTGGAAGAAAAAGAGTGGCACACGTCTGGCTGAATTGAGGGCACATCTGTTAAGGCCCAATTTAAATCTGAGATTAGAGGGCAAGGAGCACTTTGTCCACGTCACATTACGTGCACCCAGCATCTCGTTTCAACTGGTCTATTTATTTATTTATTTAGGGTATTTCTATACCACATCTTCAGAGTCCTGCTCAAGGCGGCTTACAGTTAGAAGAAGAGTTGGTTTTTATACCCCGCTTTTCTCTACCATGGAATCTCAAAGTGGCTTACAATCTCCTTCCCTTCCTCTCCTGCAACAGGCACCCTGTGAGGTGGGTGGTGTTGGGAGAGTTTTGAGGGAACTGTGACTGGCCTAAGGTCACCCAGCAGGCTTCAGGTGGAAGAGTGGGGAATCAAACCTGGTTCTCCAGATTAGGGTCTGCCTCTCTTAGCCACCACCCCATGTTGGCTCTCAGCATCACACATTTACAATAAGCCAACGGGCATAAAAAGTGTAAAAACTATCCACAAAATAGTAGGAGACAATTAAATAAGCTGGTAAAATAAGCCCCCCCCCACCAATTAAAAGGCTGGGTTAAAAAAAAAAAGGTATGTTTTGGCTTGAAGCCTATCAGAAAGGTCTACTGATTTATTGATTCAAAACTTTAGTATGTCTGCCCTCTCTCCCAGAGACTAATCACGGAGACCCAGTGTGGTGTAGTGGTTAAACTGCCAGATTAGGGTCTGGGAAACCGAGGTTCAAATCCCCAATCTGCTGTGGAAGCTTGCTGGGTGACCTAGGGCGAGTCATGCTCTCACTCTAACCTACCTCACAGGGCTGATGTGAGGACAAAATGGAGAATGCCTGAAGTTGCTTCATGTCCCCATTGGGGAGAAAGTAAATAAATAAATACATGTGCAGCATTAGCGCACTAGAACAATGCCTGGCTGGGCTGTGGACCTCTGCAAGTTAACATTGCGCAACTAGCAGATGAGGGAGCAGTTTCAATGAACCGCTGAGCATGTGCAACACCACATGGGCAGGTTCTTGTCTAATAGCATCGTGTCCCCACAAGTGATACCAGTATTCAGTATGGCTCTACATCCCTACCAAGGTCTCCTTCAATTCCTGCAAAAACTGGGAGCGCTAATTCTTCTGGACTCCTACTTTTTGTTCAAAGAAAAGCTTATTTGCATGCATGGCTCTTTTTATAACCATCTTGACTTTTGAAAACAGTTAATTTGAACAAGAAACCTGCCCAGAGTGAAAGCTTCAAGCCTCACCCCCAGGTTCTTAATTCAGGTTGGTGTAGTGGTTAAGTGTGCGGACCCTAATCTGGGAGAACCAGGTTTGATACCCCACTCCTCCACTTGCAGCTGCTGGATGACCTTGGGCAAGCCATAGTCAGAGCTGTCCTTGAAAAAGAGCAGTTTCTGTCAGAGCTCTCTCAGCCCCACCTACCTCACAGGGTGTCTGTCGTGGGGAAGGGGAGGGGAAGGGAAAGGAGTTTGTAAGCCGCTCTGAGACCCCAAGTGAAGGTCGGAGTATGAACCCAATCTCTTCTCCTTCTCTTCTAAATGAAATCAATTCATGATGTGCTGGTTAGAGCGTCAGACTAGGATCTGGGAACCCAGTCTCCAGCTTCTCCCCTGCCGTGGAAACTTCCTGGAGGATCCTGGGCCAGTCACATGCACACTCTGCCTCACCTACCTCACAGGGTCATTGTGAGGATAAAATGGAGGAGAGGAGAACAGCCTAAGCTGCTTTGGGTCCCCTCTTGGGGAGAAGGGTGGAGTATAAACAAAGTACAACACAAATAAATAATTTTTTCTCACTGTATCTGATGGTGGGAGCTTTCACTCTCAAAAGCTCATACCCCAAAAATTCTGGTTGGTCCCTAAGGTGCTACTGGGCTTGAGCCTGTTCTACTGCAGACCAGCAAGGCTACCCTTGGAAATACTAGAAAAGAGCAAGAGTCCAGTGGCACCTCGGGGATTAACAACATCTGTGGCAAGGTATGAGCTTTTGTGAGTCACTGCTCACTTCTGTCTATCTGAAGAAGCGAGCAGTGACTCACAAAAGCTCATACCCAGCCACAGAAGGGCGGGGTATAAATCCAATCTCCTCCTCCTCCTCCTTCTTCACCTTAATGACTAAGAAGAGGAGGAGGAGGAGATTGGATTTATAACCCGCCCTTCTGGACTCTTGCTCTTTTGGTGCAGTGGTTAAGTGCGCGGATTCTAATCTGGGAGAACCAGGTTTGAGTCCCCCTCCTCCACTTGAAGCTGCTGGATGACCTTGGGCAAGCCATAGTTCTGTCAGAGCTGTTCTCTCAGAGCTTGAGCTCTCTCAGCCCCACCTACCTCACAGGGTGTCTGTTGCAGGGAGGGGAAGGGAAAGGAGATTGGATTAAATGCCAAAAAGGGGAGAAGAATGCCATTTCATAAAAATCTCATTGTGGGTAGGGAGGCAAGGGTTAGGGAGAGTTTGGGTTATATCCTATGACAGGTAGGATTCCTAACTCTGGATTTGGAGTTTTCGCCAAAACAGGCAGAAGGTTTACAAGGTGGAGTCTTCCTTTGTTCTTGGTTCAAATACTTTGCCCAGATGCTGTGGTCCACAGGGACCAAAACTCCTCTGCAAAGGGGCAGTAGGGAGGTTGGGGGGGGGCTTGCTCCATCTAGGTAACTGTCTTGTGTTAGAACAAAGCTTGAGTCCAGTGGCACCTTTAAGACCAACAAAGTTGAATTCTGGGTATAAACGTTCATGCGCACGCACACCAAAGCTTATACCCAGAATCGAACCCTGTTGGTCTTAAAGGTGCCACTGGACTCAAACTTTGTTCTGTTGCTTCAGACCAACACCGCTACCCACCCGAATCTGTCCTGTGTTGTAACTTAGCTAGGCTCATGTACATTTTTCTTTCCTTAGATCTGTCTCTGCTGGACAGCTATTTTCCATGTACGTGCTATAACTTTAATCTTTATTAATATATTTCCTGTTTAAGAAAGCAGACTATGATTCAAATCCTACCCTTACACGCTAAGGACATGCATGCATGGGAGGGGGAGCTAATGTAACTGGAAGCTCTGCCCTTTGTACTTGCTCAGAGGCAGCCTTATCGGGGTTCCCCAAGACACTGGTTACATGATAGGCTGTGTTTTGTATCTTGGGGTGGTGGCAGAGGAGAGAAACTCACTTTTACATGCAGGCAAACATAGAATCACAGAGCTGGAAGGGGTCATACAGGCCATCGAGTCCAACCCTCTGCTCAATGCAGGATCAGCCTAGAGCATCCCTGACAAGGGTTTGTCCAGCTGCTGCTTAAAGACTGCCAGGGAGGGGGAGCTCTCCACCTCCCTGGGCAGCTGATTCCACTGTTGCCCAACTCTTACTGTCAAAAAGTTTTTCCTAAGATCCAGCTGGTTCCTTCCCACTCTTAATTTAAACCCATTATAGCAAGTCCTATCCTCTGCTGCCAACAGGAACAGCTCCCTACCCAGGGCAGTTTATGACACTAGTGAATTATGGAGATGACGCTTCAAACAGATTCTGGAAATATTTGTTTCCCTTGGAAACAAAAATAATCTGAGGTGGTGAAAATATTTTGACTCAGTGACTGGGGGGAGGGGGGGAGTACATATTTTCTGAAGAATGTTATTGAAACAAGAACCTAAGTAACTTCTGGAAGTAATTTAATCCTTTTTTTGTGTGTGCAAAACTTTGAGTGATCAGGGAAATGAGATAAAATTGCTTTAAACCCTACTTTGTACCCTATTTTTTAAACAATCCTGCTCAAACCTTCTGGGTATTTGAAGCAACAAGAAATGAGGTGATAACTTACTGAGCATTTGCCAATTCTACTGTATTTTCTCCCATTGTCGTTAACACTGTATATGTAAATACAATTATCGTGAGAGCCTATTGCCAAGAAGTTGCCGTCTGTATGGACAGAAGAAAAACAAAACAATCATATTTAAGTTTGCTTCAATGTTGCGAGGAAACTAATTCATTAAATACTTACGCACTGAGGACTAACACTCCTAAACATGTTTTTAGTAATACTGTTCAATACAAAAATTTATTGACATCTCTGTTACCACACCGACTTCCTGATCACTAGGGTACTTAAGAGAGCAAAGTACCGGGCCACTGCACATGCTATGTTCATATCAATGGTCAGCATCTACACCGGGGAAGGGGAGAGGGCCTCATTTGGATATCGGGAGCTCTAAACTTCCCCTTCAAGGAGCAGCCTCCCATGTTCCCTGAAAAGCCCTCACCCTTCCCAGAGCTGCACTCCAAGAGACACAAGAAGCTGCCAGTGAAAACAAGCGTTGGCCCTCTACCTTGGACAAGTGGAACTATTCTCCGCTCATGCATAAGAAAGATCAGATCTTTCCCAACACAACTTGCAGAGAAGCTGTGCTTGGCAGACTGCACTCCATCCCCTGCACAGTGGTACGCCGGACCGTCTGCTCAGCCAGTGTCAGCCTCATCAAAGGTAAGGGGTCAGTGCAGTATGACAACCTGTGATGCACTGCGAGACGACACAGACCGCAGCTTCCTTCCCCTGCTTTCTGACTTGAAAGCTACCACGACTTGTGTGTGGAGAAGCACATGTTCTGGGAGCCTACCACCACACACAGATCCTTCCAACAGGTGCGGTTGCCATGCTGCGTGAACAGGAACGGTGCCATGCGTGCCACAGGTCCAGAGCATGCAACCTGACCACTGGAGTTTTCAGGGCTCATGTTGATGCACACAGATATTGTACACACATGGTTAATACCCTCGTCGCACAATATGGCAACCATGCTTACTGTGAGGATTAGAGGTTGTGCACGCTCCTAGTACATGTGATTGTTAACGTACGAAAAGGGCTAATGTCACAGCAGTGTTGACCGTTTCTTGAATGGCAGCTTACCCTTGCTGCCTCCGAGACCCCAGGTGTAGCTGGGCTTAACACAGTCCCAGAATCCTGTGCTGGCACATGGCAAAGAAGGGAGGGACTTGCAACAGTATGAGAATTACTACACATCCTAATTTTATGGGCTTGCTCCCCAAAAACCTTATTTTGAAGACTACTTCACTGATCTATACTTTTTGGTGAGTATTTGTGTGTGTGTGTGCCTGAAAGTATGGTGACTTCAGGCAACCTCTAGTGGGGCTAGGATGTTTCAGAGAGGTGGCTTGCTGTTGCCTGCCTCTGCATCTCGGCCCTGGTATTCGTTGCAGGTCTCCCTTCCAAGTACTTGCCAGGGTCGGCCCTACTTAGCTTCTGAGACTGAACTTCCCTGGGCTATTCAGGTCAGGGTGAACTATACTTTATGTTGTGCTCCCTGGCCAAAACAATTTGTTGTGTATAGCAGGGGGCTTAGGCTGGCCTTAAACACAATCAGATATAAAGCGCCATTGTAATTTAGTCTTTTGAAAGATACCCTTGAACATGGTTGGTTAGTTAGGAGCTCAGCACTTGGGAACTTTTAAATGGCCAGTTACCATACCAAAAGCAAACCAAACAAATTGAAAGGTCAAATTCACTGAGGCTTTGCCAGATCAAAAAATCAGCCATGTGAATTGGCTGTGAGAGACTGCCAATTGGTGAAACAACATCAAGAGCGCCGTTATTCAAATTAGCTGCCCCCCTTATGTTAATGGCTTTAGTTTTTCCCATTAAAAAAATAAAAATATATTTAATCAAGATTTGAACCTTTAAAAAAAAAAAAACCCTGGAAACCTCCAGTGATATGCCAAGCAATTTAAGCACAATATTTAAGACTGTGACATTAAAATGTACGCTTGCTACAGCATTCAGACCCTTCCATTTTGTTTAAACAACTGAGCAAACAATGCCAAACCTGGTGAGTAACGCATTGTGGACAGCTGTTCGTTTCCGTCTGTGTGCACAGTGACCAAATCTTTTGTTTCGGTGTCAAACACAAACCACCTGTTGAAAACACAGGAAGGAAAAGTCAACAAGTTGTTTGGCACAGAAGGGAAGCAGGGATAATCAACTCCCCCCCCCATCATTCCCAATGTCAGAACAGAAACCATGTTATATTGACAATAAAGCGGCAAACAATGAAGATGAGATCAGCTTGGCTGTAACAAATATTTACCAGAAAGCCTGTGAACATTTTAATATCAAAGCCTCTAGTTAAATATTATCACTGCTGAAATGTATTGCTCCTTTTAAAGGCAGGCAGGCAATTGAGAGATACCCTGGGTTGGCAGAATGATTGCACTTTTCACATCAATTATACAAATGGGAGAACGCAACATAATATCTCTTTTCACTTGTTTGAGATATTTTCCCCTTTATGAGTTAGGTTTCAGAAAAGCCAATGCACAAATAACCCTTTTAACCTGTGGCATTAGATTGTATTAATTAATTAACCATTTGTTTATTTTATTTATTTTACATAATTTATACCTTGTTTTTCTGCCCTCATTAGGACGACCAGGTGGCTAACAAATTTCAATGTACATTAAAAAATCACATCATAAAATCCAAGAAAAAACCCAAAACATACATCAATAAAACAAGTAGAACCAGAGCTAACGTACATACAAAAATATCAAAACCATTCAAACAATGTGCAGGAAAGAACATGGTCCAAAACAGAATTATACCTTTTTGAAGTACATTGAAATCAATGGGCTTAGAAGGGTGAAAAATCTGTTTAGGCCTGCACTGTATGTGATGTAAAAAAAGAGATTATCACCCCACTGAATTCTTTTTTCTTTTGTTCATACACCTAATGAAAAGCAATAAAGACAGCTCGATGTGCAGGGCCGGCTCGCCCGCTAGGCGAACTAGGCATTCGCCTGGAGCGCGGGCCGGCCCTGAGGGCACCAAACCGGCTCCCCCCCGTCAAAGCCCCCCAGCCCCCGCCAAAAGCCCTGTATCTTCCTGACTGCTGCCGCCGCTGCCTCTTTCTCACTGAGTCTGACAAGCGCTGCTTGCCAGACTCGGGGAGAAAGAGGCGGCGGGGGTGGTCAGGGAGATGCAGGGCTTTTGGCGGGGCCGGGGCCAGGTGCAGTTTGGCACCCTAGAACCAGCCAGCCAGTGCCAAAGGGTGCGGGGGCGGGGTGAAACGTCCCCTTGCCTCCCTGAGCCCCGGGGTGGTGGCCTTGGAGTCGTAGGGGCAAATTCCACCTCTCGCGCGAGAGGTCATTCTGGCTCCCCCAGCTGTCCTTAGGGGCTCTTTTAAAAGTTATGGTGGCCGCCGCCGCCGCTTTCGGCTGCAGCTGCAACCACCGCGGGGGGGTGGGGGGGCTGCTGAGCTGCCCTCCCCGCCTTTTTCAGGCTCCGCGCCGGAGTGCTGGGCCTGAAAAACGGCCTGCAGAGCTGCCCCCCTCCTTTTTCAGGCTCTGCGCTAGAACGCCAGGCCTGAAAAAGGGCCAGCCAAATGTCAATTTCGGCCCCATTATATCCTATGGGCCTTTGAACTCAATGGCAAAAACATAGGGTATATTCTGGGGGCTGGAGAGGAGGGAGTTTGAGGGAGAGGCTCCAAAATCGTAGGGTAGCTGCTGGAGCCTCTCCCCAAGATACTAACCAAGTTTGAAGAACATTGGACCAGGGTTTTTTCCCCCACCATAGAGAACAATGGAGGGGATGGGGCAACCTGTTTGGGGGCCCGTAGAA